TCATCATTTATTACTAGATTATGACCTTGTATAAGTAGTTTGACCTTGAGTTTTTCACCTGTGGAAAGGAAATAAAAATACCTTGTGGAACTATTAGGAGTAAATAAGATTTGGATATAGCTCAAACTCTTCTTAGGGTATATCTGTAGTTTTACATGCATATTATTTGAAAAGCAGTAAAGCTGAAAATTAATGAACTAAGCTTTCATTTCTACAAGTTAAAAACAGAACTGGGCAATGGCTTGTCCCTGTACTGCCAGCTACTCAAGAGGCTGAGGCAAGAAGATCACAAATTCAAGCCCAACTTGTGTAATTTAGATCTTGTCTCAAAATAAAAGATGAAAAGGGATGGGGATGTAGCTCAGTTGTGCAGCCTTAGCGGGCATGCCCAAGGCCTGGGTTCCATTACCAGTGCCACAGAAGAGGACAGGGGAGGAAGAGGATGAGGACGGGAGCTGCTGTGGAGATGTCGGTTCTGAGTGACCTGAGTGGTCAGCGAAGCCCTGAGTAGGTTTGGTTGGTTGGTGGAACTGAACCAACAGGTCTTACGATTTATGTGGAGATGCCCAAGGCCAAGGGTAGTTACACTGCCTGGAAGAACAAAGGAGAGGACTTGGTCTGGACTCCAGGATTCTCTAAAGGTGCAGTAACGGAGACAGTGAGGCACTGTCACGACAGAGGGAGCCTCGCTGAGGGAAGAGGTAGCACTGGGGGAGAGAGGAGGAAGCTGTTTTCAGCAAGGGGTCTGTGTGGAACAGAAGAGACTCGACTGGTGTGCCAGCGCGCGTGCAGATACCGTTTCCGTGTATAAAGGCGCAACTCTCCACGACCCCATTTAAAGAGCACAGGAAGTATCTAAGCAAAAGGAAAGGGTTCCTACATAGGACGCTCGCAAGCACTGACTAATAAACACTGACCGACAGGCCGTATTAACATGGAGAGCATCTGTGTGGCAAGTGGCACTGAGAAGGAGTAGGAAGGTGAGGAAGGCACAGATCAGCATCTGTGACGGACACGAGGTATCGCTGAGGTAAACGCCCATCGGACCCTGAGTTACTGCTCAGCCCTTCTGAAAGGCTAAGACCAATAGACCGTCCACAAAGACGCACTTGAGCGGTGGCTCCTAAGGGCACAGCACACTACAGCCTGCGATTAGCTTTCCACCTTCTGTGTTCTAGAAGATCTCGGCTTCGTGCCGAGGTGGTTGTGGTCAGTGCTTAAGAGCATGGCTGCTGCCACTGGCCTTTATTTACACCTCAACCCCTCTACTTGGGGGAAGTTCCTTGTTCTCTCAGTGCCTCAGTTTCCCCACTCTAACAAGGCGCAGGATGATAACTGGCACCTCAACAGGGTTTTCGTTAGGGTTAAATGAAGTGCATGCACGTAGAAACACGTAGAAGTTGGTGTGGTGCCTGCGGAAGTCTCTGTCAGCAGGAAGTGATGACCGGCTCCCGCATCTCTGAGTCAGAGAGTGCTAGTGGCAGGGTGCTGTTGAGGGGGGGCCATCCTCAGAAAGAGCGCCTGTCCCAGTAGCACCAGGAAGGGGAAAACCAGATCCTGCTCTGGTCACCAACATTTCTCACTACCTTTAAGTAGCTCAGTGGATGGCATCCCCACCCCTCGGGATGGGGTCTGAGTTACGCAAGCTGGCCTCAAACTTAGGCTCTGCCTGCCTCAGCTTCCCAAGTAGGAGGGATTACAGAGATGTACCACCATGGCCAGCTGGGTGTTGGTTTTAAGAGAAATGGCCACCACTTTGGGAGTGGCACGGGTATATCAAACAACTTTCATTTGCCCCTGCTAATCCTCACACAGCCCAGTGAGGAAAATAAACCCTTCCCCATTTGATGGAGAGGCTGGCTCTTTCTCGAGAGCTGCTGTAGGTCCTGCACATCGGTGTGAGGCTGGTTCTGCCCCTCCTGAGCTGTCAGCAGAGGGCCAGAACCTGCGGGAGGGGCCGGAAAGACTCAGATGCTGGGGTGAGGGGCACCCGCTGCAGCAGACACATTGAAGCGGGGGGTGCAGGGCTCAGGAGCTGCCATGTGAGAGCTCCTCTTGGGTGCTGGGGCCCACACTCAAGGCCCAAGGGGGTGGCGTTACTCTGTGTCAGATGGACCTTGCAGGTCCCCCAGTGCTGTGATGGCCATCGGGTTTATATAGTGCACCCTTGTGATAGTCACGTGGGGCGGAAGGGAGCATAGAGGGGACACGTGGAGGCCAGGGTGCTGGCCAGGAACAGTGCTCCCTGCAGGGCTGCAACCAGAGGTCCTGCGGCCTTCAGATGTGCTGTTTCCCCTGCACTAGAAGCTGGTGAGGCCGAGCTGGGAATGCGGTCCTGGAGAAATAACGGGCTTTCCAGTCACCTGGTTGGTCAGTGGCAGAGCTGGGAGTTCTCTGACTTCCAAGTCCGCGATTCAAAAGGTCAAGGGTTTTCATTTTCATCCTCTTTTCCTCAGTACCTCGCTGGCACATCCTCAGTTCTACCCATCACTGTGTCTGCTTTTCACACCTTGGCTCAGGGTCATCTGCAGGATTTCGGATGTCTTTGCCATCTGACTGCACAGTTCAGTGAGATCCTGAGTAAAATCTGCTGAGGGGGCTCAGAAGGAAATGCAGTTAGTTCTGAGTGATTACAACTCACAGGACAGTGGCAGTGCAGAGCTTCCAAGGTCACTGGGTCCAGCATGCCTTGTACAGTTTTGCAAAAGGAGATTGTCTTCCTAATTTGTTTTACGGAGATTAAAGACAGTCATGTACTCTTGGGGAATATGTAAATCGGGAGGTGAAGACTTTGTAGGAGGGGCTGGTTGAGGTTCAGCTGAACTCTGATAGTGCCCAAGAGGATGGGTGATTGGGCGCTGGCTATAATTCGGGTCACAGCTGTACAGGATATCAATGGGGGAGGCTTAGCCCTTGCTTTCTCCTTCTAGAAGGAGTCCTGTAGTGGTTTGGGAGCACCCACTCCCTGGCCTCTGCCCTGTGTGAGGGCCTCTTCTCTTTGCTGGGTCTTCCTGTTCCCTGGCCATTGGGAACATGTGTCCTCTCTGATGTCCTTGCAGCTCAAGTACGTCTTGGTGTTATTCCTCTGACACAGTGATCCAGACTCTTGCCCCTACAAGTTCGCCATTATGCTGAGCCTCTCCTTGGTGCCTGGCACTGAGCAGGCTCTTCATCAATCTTGCACAGAACTGATCTTCCATTAGTGTTTGAGCCACACTGTATCCAGCCAAACTTTGAGATCCTCTGCAGTACTGCGAGGACCAGGCTGCTCCTGCTCTTCCTTACAGCTGCTGTGGGATCTCACTGGCTTCCCAGCAGTGGCTGGATTGGGTCATTTTGAGACTCATGTGCCAAAAGCTGTGGTGTTCTCTCAGGTGCCAGAAGAGATAGCTTCTCTGGGCAGGAGATCCTGCTGTAGATGTGGAAAGGGTAACCAAGGGAGGACCCTGGCTGATAGTGTAGGAGTCTGTAGGAGAAGGGAATGCTGTGAAACGTGGCAGCAGGGCCTGGCCAGGTGGCCTTCCTGAGACCCTGGCAGTTTGATTGTGGAGTGGAGCCTCTTATTAGGGCATTGGTCCTAACCGTCCTATTTCCACCTCTGCAGCCTCCGTGGTTTGGAGTGTGTGGCCTTGAGGTGCCCCGTAATCATCTGTTCCTGATTGGTGTGGAGAGCTGCTTCCTGGGGTGCTCACTGTAAAGGCCTCGTATCCATCAGAGTAACTCCTGGCAGCCAGCAGTTAGATTTAGGTGACAGGAACCTGGCTTACCTAAATCTGAGATTGTTTTTGGAAAACATCTTGGTGTAGTGGAGAGAATATTATCTTAACAAATAGGCAGAGCTCATGTCAAAGGCTAACTTCCACCCTTCGTTACTTGGCGACCTTGGGCCTATTATTTAGTATCCCAAAACATGTTTTCTCAACCGTAAAGTAAAAACAAAAGTATGATAGTAATACTAATTACTTCATAACGATAATGACAACACTAATAAGTTCATTATTATTTACTATGGATCAAGTATTGTTCTAAGCCCTTTGTATGTGTCTGGCTCTTCTGTGAGAAGTTCGGTTCCATTATTGAAGAACGCAGGTTCCATTATTGTCTCTTTTATAAAGGTAGTTGAGGCACAGAGACGGTGGGTCACTTGCCTGCAGTTGCTCAGCTAGTGAGCAGCAGGTCTAGGAATTCAGCCCTGGTGGCCTAACTGTAGGTTAGGCCTCTAGACTGTTGTCACAGGCAGTTGCGGGGACTAATAGCGACATTAGAAGTAGCCAGGATACTCAGAGACTCAGGAAGGCCTTACGGAATGTCACAGCCTCGCCTTTGTAACCCCCTAAGCTGAGGCCTTGGCCTGCTGGCTGGGGAATGCAGGCTACAGGGAAGGGAGGTTGAGGCAGTAGTCTCATCCGAGGTGCAGACTGGGGCCTGGAGGGGAGGTGATCACCCTTTTGCCCTGGCCTGGACTGCAGATCACTGACTGTTACTCAGAAGCGAGTAGAGCATTTCTCTTTCTAGCTGAGCCTCATGCAGAAGGTCGGAGTCTGGGGCTCCGGTGGCTGAGGTGTGTCAGGCAAGATGGAGGTGCCCACAAGTGGACTGAGGCGGGCACTCTGGAGGGAGGGCTCGGAGGTGGAAGGCGGGTTATTTCCCACCCCAGGGCGAGCCTCGGTTCAGAGACTCTGCCCGCTTGGCTTGTTCTCTGCATGTGCCTCTGCTGTCCTCAAGGGATGGATAGTCGTGTGTGGGCCTGAGAATGTGAACTGTTCTTCCGCAAATGCTTCGCGCTTTTCGGGAAGATGGCAAGGTCTCCTTGGTAATAATGAAACACACATCAGTGCCAGAGCCGAGCAGTTTATTGCTTCCTCCAACTTGAAGGAAACATTTTAGACTGCTCTGTGTGGAAAGCAGAGATGGACATGGGAAGTTCTGAGGTGGGAGTGACCTGCTTTTTTGCCTTGGGAATGTAAAAACCATAGCGGTCTGGTTTTTTTCTCTCCTAGGTCTGTCTGCAGATTCTGAGCGTCTGGAGTGGACCCTTGAACCTTAGCACTTGCTGGCATCTCACCCTTCGGAGAGATGTCTGTCACTTACGACGATTCCGTTGGAGTGGAAGTGTGCAGTGACAGCTTCTGGGAGGTAATGCTCGCCTCCTCTGGAGATTGCAGAGTCCGGGCCGAGGGTGTCTGACAGGCTTTGTGTTTTGGTGGAGATGAGGGGTGAAACAAACAGACCCCAACCCGCCAGACACTTGCAGTCATATCTCAAAGGCAGCAGAGGAGAGGTAGCGCTGCATGTCAGCCAGCCCAGGTGCGCCCTCGCTCCCAGTCAGGGTGGTGGGGTACTTTGCTACTTACAGAGGTTAGAGGTCCTCCTGTCTGTCTATCCTCAGGTGTTTCTCTTTATGTTTAGCCACTGTGTGACTGGGAGTGACATGAAAAGTACTGGGCTCAGCCTGAGAGACAGCTCTGCTTTTGAGTCTTGCGTGGGACCACCGACGGGTGTGATGTGACATCCTCTGTACAGTGTGGGTAGCTACCCAGAGGGCCAGAGCATCTGCCCGTGGGCTGCAGAGCCACTGCCGGCTAATGGAAGTCGTTCCTCCTGATCCTCCCTCTTTTCCTGCCAACTTCTTAAAGGAAAGGCAACTTTTGAACAGATTTTGTCTCCACAGCAAAACCACTGGCACTTTCTGGCAGCTGTAGGTTTTGTGGAAAGAATGCTTCTCTGCAGTTGGAAAGATCTGCAGTCCGGTCCCAGCCATGCAGTCAGCTAGCTATGTGATCGTGGCCAGGCCTTCAGGCCCTTTATAGGTGAAGTTGGGTGACAGCCTCAGCAGAGGCTGCCAGAGTAAGGGACAGTATAGCCTTTGGTGCCCTATAGGCACCTTCCTGAAGCAGCAAGATGGACGAGGGGAGGAGACGTCCTGGTGTTTGTTGGGGACTGGCATGAAGTAGAGTGCCAAAACTAATTAGATGTGAGATTTTGTCTGAAATCAAACACCATCTGCTATTGCAATTTAAAGGAAACAAGTGGCCGGGTGGTGTGGTGGCGCATGCCTGTAATCCCAGCATTTGGGAGGCTGGAGGATCTCCACAAGTTCAAGGCCAGCCTGGGCTATGTAGTGAGTTCAGAGCTAGCCTGGACTACATGTAGCAAAACCCTGTCTCAAAAAAAACAAAAGAAGAAAAAAAAAAACAAGCAATCACAATCATTGAGCAAATTCCCAAGCTTCAAAAACATGGGCAAGAGGCTCAAACTTCTGTCAAGGTCTTTTCTTTCCTGTTCTGGGTAAAAAGGTCATTGATTGACTTAGAGATGAATACTTTATTCCATTGAAAGTGTGTACTTAGCTGGTGTGGTGGCTTACCCTTTAGTCCTAGCGCACAGGGCATTAAGGCAGGAGGATCACTTGAGCCCAGGGGTTGGAGACCATCTTGGACGACAATAGCATGACCTCTGCTGAAAAGCAGCCACATGCTACTGAGCAGCTTCTGTGCGCTGGGCCCCTGGAGGATGGAGCCAGGAATAAGGAGACTGAGCCCCTGGACCTGAGGAGCTGTTTCTGAGGGAGCAGAGTGAATGGACCTGGGAGAGCGCAGGTACTCTCTGTCCACCTGGCAGGCAGCAGCCTGCCTGGGGGGACCCAGGCCCGAGCTCAAATGCGGTGACAAGACAGGCACATCTGCCCCAGAAACATCTCACTCAGACAGCAAGGGGGACAGGATAATAGACGTGTCACCAGCCACGTGGCAGCAAAGTATACTCTCCTGGCTTGGTGGGAAGGCCGGAGCAATGCCGAATGAAGAACCTACAGTGACGAGATGTCATTGGCACTGCCTCAGGACAGGGCCAGAATTCCAAGACTCCCCTCCACAGAAACCCCCACCCCCCAGACCCGCAGGCACAGGCAGCATCCCCACTGCCGGCCCCTGGGTGGCCCTGCAGAGTCCTGTGTGCTCCTGCGACTGGTTCTGAGTGTCTTCGCAGCACTGACCCAGAACTGCAGGTTCTGACCATGTGTTGGGTTGAGGAAGGGAAACACCCACCCTGGGTCACAGTGTCATGGGCACCGTCAAGGCTGAATGAGGCCGTGATTACCTTGCTTCTCCTGCACCAGGTCAGTGATCCCGAGCACCTGCTGTCCCTGGCAGTGGGTGGGAAAGTGCTCAGTGTGGCCTTGTGGGGAGGGGTTTCTGCAGTGTGGAGCCGCAGCTCAGCGTCAGCCCTGTGTGCCGAGGAGCTGCCCACCTGCACAGGGCCGTGCACTGCGCGACAGCAAACCTGGCAGCCTTTTCCGTGTGGCAGCCTGCCCGCGTGTCTCACTTGGGCACCCGGGGCTCATCACAATGCCCGGCATGCTTAATGACTGTTGATTGAATGCGTGAATGAGTTCAGTCATGTGTTACAGGCTGACGTGAGGCCCTCCTGCTGGTTCGTGCCTGTGCGGCCTTTAGTAATGTGAAGGAAGTGTAGGCAGTTGCTCATTTGCCCTCTGTGGAGTTCCTGATTATGTGCTTGGCTTAACTCTCTATAGGGAGGGCACACATGACTCTGGGGAAGAACTCAGTAAATAAAAGACGAGTGATGCCATGGCTGTGGCTCTGACCTCACAGCACCTGCTTGGTCACCTCCTCTCTGTGGATTGGGAATCCCAGCTCCTAGCACTGTTGGACTCTGAGTGGACATTATGGGTGCCCTGTCTGTGGTGTGCAGAATGAGGATAAAGGCACAGTTCTTGCTCCCTGGGCCCTGCTGTTTTAATTCATCTTGGCATGTGACAGGTGACAAGGGTGGGAGGAACAGCAGTGGGAGATTTCACAGAGAGGTGGCATTGTGTGCAGCTTATGTGGTACCTGCTGTGCCTTCCTACCTCAGCCTTCCTAAAGCGGCCTTGCTGAGTTCCCTCCGCTCCCCAGACACTACTCCTTCAGGAACCCCTGACCAGCAGGGCTGTGTTCCTTTCTAGATTCGCCACTGCCTGTGATTGTGTTCTGTATCTGGCCATGAATCTTGTAAAGGGACAGGTTGCTCCCCATTGCGTCCTGCTTCACACGGTCCTCTGCACCCAGCAGCAGGGAGAGAGGAAGGCTCCAAGGGACCCAGGTGGTAGATGGTAGGGACAGATGCAGCTCAGTTAGAGATCCTGGCACTACGAAGGGCTTCAGAGTCACAGGTCCCTGGAGCCTCCCTGACCCCCAGGGGACAGGGTGGAGAAATGGCCAGCGAGAGGTCGGCCAGGGCCAAGTGGTGGCCGAGGGCTCACTGGGGTGGGGGAAGCCTCAGCCACCCCAGCCCAGTGTGCTTTGCTCAGGCATGGACGGTTCCAAGCCCACCGTGCAGCAGAAGGGAGAGAAGTGTGGGGAGGAGACCTGTGCAGGGCCACACATGGGGAGCAGGGCTGAATGCATGTGCGTCCCTGGGGACCGAGGGCCGGGCGCCTGTGGCCGTGCACACGATCTCCAGAGCTCCTTCAGCCAGCTCCTGGCCGCCTGCACTGCTGTAGCGGAGGAATCCCACAGGCTCCTCTTTCGTTCTGGTCTTGGAAGCTAACAGAGAAGGCACGGACAGGCGCAGTGGTGCAAGCCTGTGATCCTGAGGCAGAGGCAAGAGGAAGGAAGCCTAGACCTTTCAGTGAGACTCTGCCCCAGAAAGCAAAGCAGAAACAGTTAAGATAGCCTAATCCAGAGTAAAGCACTGGAAGGCCTGAATAACCATTAGGTTTGGTTCTGAGACTAAAGAGTTCATTGTAAAGCACAGATACGAGCAGGAAATACGAAAGAAAAAGAAAAGGTGCAGGAGCTTCTGTGCTGGGTAGAACAGGTGCTGTTCACTCCCGGAGCTGCCGGGGACTCGGAGCCTTCCCTTCTGTTGGCCGTGTAGAACGGCTGGCTCACCCTGAGCCTTCGTCACCAGGGAGCAGAGGGCAGATGTGGTTGGTTCTTCTGGGCCACAGGTTAAGGGCATGGTTATTCTGGGGGCAAAAACAAGATCCCGTTTGTCGAGCTGTCCCAGTGGTGCACAGGTTAGGTGTTCCCAGGATGAGCCTCGTTATCGGATGACGGGGCAGGAGCAGGCCGGTGCCTTGCTGGTGCAGCTCTGTACCCTCTAGGGACTCAGCCTGGGGACACAGCACGTAGCCCTGTCTGCTCCTGTAGCAAGATCGTAGATGACTGCACCTCTGCTTTCTTGCAAAATGACAAGCCTGGTGACTGTGTTGTCACCCACAGGCTTGGATTACAGTTGACTGTATGGGTGTCAGGGAGAGTTGTCAGCAGCCTGCCTGGCAAAGCGCAGCATGCTCCTTTAATGCACCTCTACCGTGAGGAGTCTCTGTTATGTGTTTTGTTTTGTTTTGTTGTCTTGTTGAGACAGGGTCTCGCTATGCAGTTCAGGCTGGCCTTGAGCTCACTTTGTAGCCCAGTCTGGTCTCAAACTTGCAACGATCCTCCTGCCCCAGCCTCCCAAGTGCTGGGATTACAGGTGTGTGCCACCACGCCCGGCAGTCTCTTGTTACGATGAAATCTTATGTGCAGCCTCTGCGTTGAGGCTCCCAGCTGCAAGAGGACAGGGTGTCTGAGGTGAATCTGAGTGAAGCTGTGATGATAGGCAGTGTGTGGAAGAGCACGTGTGGCGCCAGAGGCTGTGCCTATCTGGTCTCACCGGGGGAAATCAGTTATGGATACCTAATGTGCCGTGGCGTGTGCTGGCACTGGGGATGCAGGCATCGCCCCTTGGTGGCCCGGCAGGGACAGAACAGCCGTAGGAGCCTGTGTGGAGAAAGCCGCGGAGCATGGCATCAGAGAGGGTACTGTGGGTAGCAGGGCATGTCCCTGTCTTGGCTCTCCTACTTCCGGTTCACATGACTGTCTGTCCTTCTGTTTCTGGTACAGCATTTCTGAGTCAAACCTTGTAAACTGTATCCCTTCTTTATGCATCAGCACCTGTGTTTATGTAAAAGAAGGCTACACTGTCATATTTCTTTCCAGTTTGCAGTGTGCCCACAGTCCCTGTGGTTCCCCATGCTTCCTTGTGCAAAGGCTTAGCCTCCTGACTGCCCTGAGGGACTAGGGAGCATTTCTGTGGGGTAGTTAGTCAGTGGCAAGTTGCTGGGTGGTGGATAGGGCTGAGATAGGAAATGTCCACCACAGGCTCATAATTTGAAGGCTCCGTGCCCAGTGTCAGAAGTAACTGGGTCATGGGGTCTCTAAATTCAGACTCGGCAGCATCCTTGGGAGTGTTGGAACCTTAGGAGGTGGCGCCTCACTGAGGGAGTGGGTCATGGAGGTGACACCTTGTCCTGGGCCCCTTTCCTTTAGTGGTCACTGTTTCCAGGCTGCCTTGAATGGAAGGGCTGTGCGGCTCCACGCTCTCTGCAGTGCTGCTCTGCCTGGCCACCGGCCGGAAGGCGGTGGAGCCAGACAACCATGGGCTGAAACATGTGAAGCTGTGAGGCAGGCAGAGGAACCCTTCGGCAGACACAGCTTCTGTACTCAGCGCAGCCTTGCAGATTTCAGCAGTTGCCCCTGAAATGGGAACCACAGTCCCTGGGTGTGCTGATGACTGGCACCGACATGTGACTCGTTAGCAAATGTTCTTTTCCCGAAATCCAGTCAGAGAAGTGGGAAGGTTTCTGGGGAGCCAGGATACCTTTTTTGATGGTGCTCAGTGATCTGACGATCTGTTGGGATGGGGAAGGCAAACACCCACCCTGGGTCAGAATGTCATGGTGACCGTCAAGGCTGAATGAGGCCACGATGACCTCACTCCTCCTGCACCAGGTCCGCGACCCGAGCACCTGCTGTCCCTGGCAGTGGGTGGGAAAGTGCTTGAGGCGGCCTTGTGGGGAGGGGCTTCTGCAGTGTGGGGCCGCAGCTCAGCGTCAGCCCTGTGTGCCGAGGAGCTGCCCACCTGCCAGCCCCGAGCTATCCCACCCTGAGCAGTTCAGCCCCTAGGGAAGGCGGTCCAGGCTCATGGCCTCTGGGGGTCTTGCCGATGGGCGGGATTCAGGAGCCTGTGCGAGGGCCCATCCCCTCAGCCTGTCCGGCCCTGGGCTCCAGGATGATGGCTCTTCTTGCAGTGCCACAGCCATCTTCTCTGCCCTTGGTGTGCATACAGGGCTCGTGTGTTTGTCCCCTTTCCGGGTCTCACTCCTGTCCCCTTCCCGACAACCCCTCCCCCTCCCCCCTCCTCACCTGGCTGGCTCGGCGTGGGACAGAGAGACGCGAGAGTGCCTGTGGCCGCACTGCAAGGAGGGGACGCTGTGGCTCCAAAGCAGGCACACGTTCATGTGACCTCGAGGAGCCTCCAGACTGAGTCTAGACAGGGAGTGCTGTCACCCCCGGGAGAAGCGGCGAGAAAAGGCAGTGTGATGAGACGGTGGCTACAGTTTTTGGAGACAGGTGGAGAGAAAGGATGGTGGGGTAATAGATCCTTTCTCTGGCCCGGTGTCAGGGACAGCTGCCTTATCCCTTTCAAGTCAGCCGCTCAAAGGGTGAAGCATAGTGAGTGTTTTGATTCTCACCCCAGTTATCCCAGCACTTTCTCAGTTACCCTCTCATTATTTCTAATTTAGGTTAGCCGCTTTCTCCTCTCATATGCGGAAAAAAAGGAGGGAAAACTCACCTTGCCCTTGACAAAGCATGATCTTTAGTTTCGCCTTCTTGGATGTCACCAACTGTGGGAAGCCGTCCCAGCGCCCGCTGTGTGAGAGTCCCCCGCGCCCCCGAGGCCTGCGCTTTCAGGCTGTGCCTCTGACTGTGTTTCTGTTGTTAATGAAAGCAGAAGCAGGGCAGGCGCGGGAGCGAGCGTGGTTAGCCAGAAGCTGTTTGTGTGGCCGCAAGGGGCAGCCTGCCACTCCCCGTAGAAGCCGCACAGGGACAGCTGCCTTCGCGTCTGCCTTCGCATCTGCCTCGCAGCATCCCTGTGTCTCCTAGGTCGGGAACTACAAGCGAACTGTGAAGAGGATCGACGATGGCCACCGCCTGTGCAGTGACCTCATGAACTGCCTCCATGAGCGCGCTCGCATCGAGAAGGCATACGCGCAGCAGCTCACCGAATGGGCCCGGCGCTGGAGGCAGCTTGTGGAGAAGGGTAGGGCAGCGTGGGCACACACACTAGCTGCTTACCTGCCGGGGCTCACTGGGCCAGGCTCCTCTCTCGTGAGATGCAGGTGGGAGTGCACCTCACTTGGGCGAGGGTGCCCGTCATCTAGCAGGCCCAGACCATGTGAGCTTCTGTTACGTCTCCCTGGGGACACCAGACTGCCCTTTGCACAGCCTCTGTGCAAGACCCTTGTCCTTAGAACACACTTAGACGTGGGGGCTGACCTGGAACAGGAAAAAGCGCTGCTGCAGGCTGACATGTGACGGAGTTTTGTAGGTGGAGGGACCTTGCTTTCTAACACTGAGAGTGGCTACCTGCCAGCCGGGCCCTGTAGCAAATCAGATAACACTGGGAGGTGAGAGTGCCGCCTTCCTGCTTCAGTATCAGTGGGCATGACTGCAGGTGTTCCCTCCCTCCAGAGAAGCTCAGAGGGCACTGAGGCCTGCCACGGGTGCCTCTGTGGGGGGGGTCACGCTTGCCACTCCTGGGGAACTGGGTGATGGTGGGGAGCTCCTGTGAATGTTTGGGCCTGGCTCTTCTACCCTGGCTGCTGACCCCGGAGGAGCCGCGCAGGGAGGCCAGGTCCCAGGTAAGGCTCAGCAGAAGCTGCCCGTCCTTTCCCCAGATGCTGAAGCAGGTCGTGAGAGGGGCCCAAGTACAGCCCTGCTACAGCATGGTGGCCCCAGCTAGGGAACTGCCTGGATGAAGAGCAGCAGGGACAGGTCCCCTCTCTCAGCTGATCGCAGCTGTCACTGCTTCAGCTCTGTCTGCTGAGTCCCCTCAGCTCCAGCTGTCACCTTTGCCGTGCTCACCTTGTGGATGTGTCCACACCAGCGCCAACCGAGGCCGGCCTCAGAGCATGCTCACTTTGTAGTCTTAGCACGTTAAGAGTTCAGGGTCACACTTGTGCTAACCCGCAGCCCTAGAGTCTTATGTCCCACTCCAGTCCACCATTACTCAGCTCAGTGACTACCACTCCCTGTGAACATCTCAGGGTCCCAGCCTGGGTCTATTTTCGTTCTTGGCTTTGCCAAAGCTCTTGCCACCCGTCCCCCTTAAGTGACAGCCCAGATTAAGGATTTTTTTCCTGAGCCTTGGGGACGGGACAGTGAGGAGGGAGTGAGGCGACTGGACCCCCGCTGTGCTTCCCAGGGGCTTGCACATAGGTCCCAGTAGGTTCAGGTCTTCTGTCCTTCCTCAGCCTGCACAGCACTTCCTCCATGCTGCAGGTGATCTCAGGGCTGCCTTGGGCCTCGAAAGTGGGTGGAAGTGGCCCAGCTGGAAGTCACAGCACTGTGCTGGCGGGAGGGGTGGCTGAGAGCAGAGCTGGGGGGGTTCGGACCAGCCTGGAAGAGAGACAGAGGGCAGCTCACTTAAGCAGGCTCCCATTCTCTGGCCACTGTCAACACATTAAGGCTCTCAAGATGCAGAGATTTCAGTGTCAGAGCGTAGTGCTTTAAATACAGGAAGTACGTGTGGATCAGGTTGCTCCATTCGAGTGACCAGGGTTAACAGGAAATTCCTGTCTTTGCCCGGTGTCAGTAACCAGCTTCTTCTCCTGGCTCAGGGCCGCAGTATGGGACTGTGGAGAAGGCCTGGGTGTCCCTCACATCCGAGGCAGAGAGAGTCAGCGAGCTGCACCTGGAGGTAAAGGCCTCGCTCATGAATGAAGACTTTGAGAAGATTAAGAATTGGCAGAAGGAAGCCTTTCACAAGCAGATGATGGGAGGCTTCAAGGAGACCAAGGAAGCAGAGGACAGCTTCCGCAAAGCCCAGAAGCCCTGGGCCAAGAAGCTGAAAGAGGTACCTCCCTCCCTGGGCCTTTTCCTAGCCAGGCTTCCCTGCTGCTGACGGCCACAGCCAGTACTCCCTCCAGCACTGCACCCTGGGACCTTCTGTGGCTGTCACACCTGGTAGAGGAACAGCTGCCCCTCAGCCAGAAGCCCAGGGCAAACGTGCCTTCTGTGCATTCTTCCAGTCGAATCCTCACCAGCCCATCTTACAGACCAGGATGCAGGGTCACACTGCTCAGTGGTGGAGCACTCAAAACTCAGCTGTCATCACCAGCAGGGCTTCGCCTACTGGACACCTGTCTGTTAGATGTGCCAGTCCCTTTGGACTAGTAGCACGCATTCATTTAAGTTTGTTCTTTCTCTTGCATGGGTTTTCTCCCCAGTTTGCCAACCATGCGGCTACTCCTTTTTCTAAAAATTAAAGGCAGAGTCACTGGGTCTGGTCAGGCCCTGGCTAGCTGGAGGCGGTCCGCCTACCATTCTGACCCCCAGTCTGTGCACTGCACCTGCCTGCGACTTGCCCCACTGCTCCCTAGACACTCTCTTCCTCCGCCGGGCTTGACCCAGTGTTGCTGTGCCATCCTCAGAATCATCCAGGACTTGCTTCCACCCTTGGATTGTTACAGCCTTCCCTTTACATCTTGCATTTTGCCATCTCTCCTTTCTTTCCCGTCTTGCCCTGAACCCAGTAGTAATTAAACTATTCCCCACTTCAAGAGGCAGTTGCTTCCCACTCATCTCTCTTCCTGGAGAGCAATCTGTGGCTATGGTTCACATAAAACTTCTTTTAAATCAGTGGGGACAGTAGGAGTGTGTGTGTGTGTGTGTGTGTGTGTGTGTGTGTGTGTGTGTGTAAGTGAAATAGGCATTGAAACCATGGGAGTTGTGCCTCCCCAGCACAGCCTCATCCCTCACTTGTGCGAGTTTGTCCTTTGCAGCTCCCTGAGCACACACTTCCCTTACTTTGGGTCCACATCTTCTCACCCATTCCATATAAAATCCTGCCCTCCCTCCCATGGTGTCTCCTGTCTCTCTTCCCTGCTGTATTTTCTTCCATTCCTCTTAGTACCTCCTAAAAGCCTTATATTGTCCCCTGCATTTGGCTCCCTCGAATCAAGTAGAAGCTTCTTGAAAATCTAGGCCCGTGATCTTCTGCTGTGTCCCCAGGGCCTGGCCCACATGTCACCCAGAGCAGCCCTTGGTAAATATCTGCAGAGCGGGGTCGTTGGTCACAAGTAGTTGCAGTGATGGAGTGCAACTCCAGTGTGTCCTGCCTGGCCTCACCTTGACAGCACACACACCATGGTCAGCGTGCCCTCTGGTGAGGAGCCTGACCTGTCAGCTCTGTGCCATGCAGAACTCTCTCTCCCTGTAGGTAGAAGCAGCGAAGAAAGCCTACCACGCAGCCTGCAAAGAAGAGAAGATGGCCATCTCCCGAGAAGCCAACAGCAAGTCAGACCCGTCACTCAACCCAGAACAGCTCAAGAAACTTCAAGACAAAATAGAGAAATGCAAGCAAGATGTTCTGAAGGTAAATCATATGCTTAGTTTTTGAGCGTCAGTGTGGCACTTGTTCACGTGTCGGTCACGTAGTAAACCTCTGGCAGCTGCTTGCCTGGATGGCTGCACAGAAGGATAGACATGAAGGAGACCCGCCCTGCTCTCAGGGCCATGCAGACAGCATCTTAGCACGTGACCTTGCACAGCCATGCACCTGTCTGAGATGAGGGGGAGAACCAAGAGCTGGGGAGGTCGGGGTACAGGTGACCCTTGTGCTCAGGAGAGCGAGGTGGTGTGTGCACTCCCCGGGGAGCCTTGAAGGAAGCTTGGGTTGCTGCAGGAAGGAGCCACTTGCACAGAGCACTAGGTGGGAATCCTCGGAGGGCGCAGGCCGCCGCTCCTGTGAGTCGGTGAAGGTTCTCTGTGTGGACATTTCCTGAGTGATGCTAACCCTGCTCAGCACTCAGCCTGTGCTGGGGTAGGACCAAGTCCAGCGTGATCTGCACAGATCTGAGGCTGGAGCACTGACCTGGTGACCCTCCCAGAGCTTGCAGGAGGCACTGTGTCTCAGGGTTGAGCTGGACCCCGCACGGGCATCAGGGTGGTCAGGGTAGTGGCACAGGGCGGCATTGGTGATATTACTGAAGAACCACCGGGGCTGTGGAGCTCTGTGCAGCTCTGGCGGGAGGCTTTTCCTATGCTCCCAGAGAAGGCCGGCAGAACCATCTGACAGGACACAGAGGGCAGCAAGAACCACGGGTGCAGGAGGGGCAGGCGCAGGGCTGGGGCCCTGGGGAATGGTAAGATTGCCCTCAGGAAGCTGGGGAGGCTTCAAGAAAAGGGACTTCAGGAGCACCCAAAGGGTGTACAGTGGCCTGAGCAGGGTGGGAGCAAGGACTCGGGGTCCTAGGGGAACAGAGGTGTTCAGAGCCCTCAACCTCAGGGAGGGCCTGGTCCTTCCTCAGAAGGCCCTGTGCGGTTGTCGGAAAATGCAGAGTTCTTGAGTGGGTCCTGATTGCATGCTCATTTCTTAGGGTCTTATAATGGAAAGCCTTGTAATAGAGGGGTGATCCCAGCCCTTCTGTCACCCCCAAACCACCTGGCTTGCAGAGCAGTGAGCTGGTGGGGTGCAGGGGGAGGGGCGCACGGCGGTCTGTGTGGGTGTCACCAACCTGGATCACACCCTGCCAGGTGCTCACTTCAGCCACTTCTTAGGAATCGTGTGCGTTTCCCAGCTGGCCCTGCACTCTGTTGACACAGGCCACATTGCTCTTCATAATTCCCATCTCATTGGACAGTTTGGGAAGCAGTGGCAAGGTGTCCTGGACGACAAGGATGAGGCTTGCAAATGCCTGCTTCATGTAGCTAGCTGTGTGCCTTTTGTTTACATCTCTGAATTTTCCAGTAAGGAAAGCGAGGCTCCACAACAATAAGTGAGCACTCTGGGATTCGGGCCCCACCCCACCTGGCACTTAAAGCCGTGCCTGTGTTTCTGAGGGGACCCTCGAGCCACTCCTGCTGGGGCAGGTCTGAGGCCCAGAGGCACAGCAGTGTGATGGGCTCGGCACTGCGCACACAGGGTTCCAGGGTGGCCACCCCTCCCTGCGCCCCGTCTGGCCTCGCCGTGGGTGGCGGCACTGTGGCTTCCCTTGCAGAAGCTCAGGGATGGAGCCTGGAGGTCTCTGACTCCAGAGCTCTTGTTCTAGGTTTGGATTCGGCAGGCAGAGCTGAGAAGCCACAGGGCAGGTGGCTGAAGTGGGGGCAGTGGGTGGACCTGAACCTCTGTCTCTGCGCGGGTTGTATGTAGACCAAGGACAAGTACGAGAAGGCCCTGAAGGAGCTGGACCAGGCCACGCCCCAGTACATGGAGAACATGGAGCAGGTATTCGAGCAGTGCCAGCAGTTTGAAGAGAAGCGGCTGCGCTTCTTCCGGGAGGTTCTCCTGGAGGTTCAGAAGCACCTGGACCTGTCAAACTCGGCCAGGTAAGATTCCCCATGATGTCAGAGGCAGGTTGCTGTTCAGTGACTCAGTGTCACTTGGATACTGTGCTGAAGGCCTCAGAGGACGTTCTGCCAGGGCTCTCCCGGCTGCTGTCCTGAGCCCACCTGTCCCAGCGCAGGGCAGCCCGCTGGGGCGATGGCCTGTGGCAAGCCTGGTAGGCCTGCTGGCCACTGCCTGGGTAGATGCGGTGGGGCTTGTGCTGCCAGCTCTGCCCGTGGGTCCAGGCAGGAAGTGGGGTTGTGAGTGCTGAGCACTCCCAGCTCGGAGCAGCCACAGTGGGTGGGTGTGAAATCCGCTTGGGGGAGAGGACCCTGTCCAGGACGGTCCTTCTCACCCTTGCTGCTAGCTTGGCCTTGACTTCTTGGGGGTTCAGGGCCCCAGGGGAAGCACAGGCCCTGTGAGACGCAGCTCCGCATTCTGGCCCAGAAGCTGAGTTCTCTCTTCTGTGCTGTGCTCAAGGTCCCTGTCTGAGCCTTGAAGTCTGTACTGACAGGAGCACAGACGTCTGCTGTCATCCATGTGGCAAAACCGCTGAAAAATGGATCACATGTTAAGACGTTGTTAATGGGACATTACATTCCCTTTGCTGTCATCTTTATTAAAAACATGAGAAGCAGTCATTATCAGAGCTACTCTGCCACCGCTCATTTACTGTTTATGGTATCTCGTGAAGGGGGCCACGTTGTTCCTACTGATGAGGAGACTGAGGCTGGGTGAGGTTCAGTGACCTGCATGCTGCTGCACAGTTGGCAAGCGACAGAGCTGGGACTGTGGCCAGCTCTTCTGTGTGTGGTGACCCCTGTGCCGTGTGTAGGCACATTTGTCCAAGACTGCAGACCCACTCTGGGCCAGGTGGCATAATTGCTTCCTAGGGCAGAGTCCCAACATCCATGCCACTCTAAACTACAGACATTTCTGCCTCGCAGTTCAGGAGACCAGATGTCCAAACTCAGGGAGTGGGCTGGGCCATGCTCCGTGAAGGCTCCTGGTGTCTGCCACAGTTCTCCACTTCCTCAGCTTGTGGCCACCATGCCCCAGCCTCCCGGCCATTTCTCCCATGTTGTCATGTCATCTTCCCTGTATGTGTGTCTTGTCCAGATTTCTATCATCCTTCCTCCCTCCCTATTTGGGTACTGAATTTGAACCCAGGGCCCTTGCACTGAGCTGTAGCTCCACCCTACCCTCTTTTCTTTGGAGATCTTCTGAATTGCGTAGGCTGGCTCTAGGCTGGAGGGGTTGGGGCTCCTGACACCGTGCAGTTGTCTCTTCCTTGACTCTGCCTGACTCAGAGGGACACATGGTGGTGCGCATGGCCTGCACACAGCCTCAGGCAGAGCAGAGCTGCCCATCTGTGCACCCAGCTGCCGGGTGATCTTCCGGAGGCAGGTGTTCCTGATCTGTCTGGGAAGTAGACACATGGGAACTGCAGAGACCATAGGGCCTAAGGTTGGTGGCACCAGGCTAGGATGAATGTTAGCTAGTCACTGCCTCCCACAGAGCCATGTTTCTTCCTCTGATTTAGCTACAAAACCATTTACCGCGACTTGGAACAGAGCATCAAAGCGGCTGATGCAGTGGAGGACCTGAGGTGGTTCCGAGCCAATCACGGGCCAGGCATGGCCATGAACTGGCCGCAGTTCGAGGTAAGAGGAGGTGCTGTGCCTGCGACCCATGTGTCCCTGGTGAGCGGTGCATCCCAGCCTGTGTTCTGGCGTTTGCCCTGTTACTGGGCAGTCCATGTGCAGAGCTGAGGTATTAACGGTGGGTGTGCACAGCAACGCTGCCTCAGGTCTCTTTCATCTGCAAGGAAGGTGCAAGTATACGCTTCCTACTGAGGTGCACCACCTGTTGGCACTCCCTTCCCTATGTCCTAGCAGCGTGCTCCTGGAGCTTGGGGTCCCCTTACCAGTGCCCCGACCAGCTCTCATGGGGCTAAGGGAGGCGTTGTTCCTCACCCATTGGGAGTTTTTTGGTATCTTGAGCAGAAAACCCGGTGCATCTTGGTTTAGGACAAGCTGTCCCCTTTCCCCATGTGGTGAATCTGACCCTTCCAGTATCTCTGTCTTGCAGATTGAGGGTGTGACACGATATTGGGATGTGTCCAACCTAGAATTGGGTTACCAGGCTCCATATGGCCCCGGAAAACAGACTGGAAGTCAGTGGCTAAGGGCTACTGGAGGGGTTCTCCTCTCCTTGTGGCTGGCTGAGCATGTGATGTTGGTTGTCCCCTCTTGAGCTCTGGGAAGGGCCCTGCAGGGCTGTGGCCAATGCCTTCCCCAGGAAAAGGCCCCTTGGCCTGAGGCATGGCCTTGTGGCATCACTGGATTTAAGGGTGGCCAGAGCCCAGGTACAGCTCCCGACTCCCAATTCATCGGCCGTAGAATTCCAGCAAACCCCTTGTCCTTTATATAGCCCCCATCTCCTGGTATGAAATGAGAATGACACCCACAGGTAGGGCCAGGGCAGTGGCCTGGTCCCTGCTGAGCCATCAGCCCTGGACCCTCATGGTGACTCTTGCTAGCTTGACTGCTGCCAGGGACCCCGCACAGCTTCTCTGCCTGAGTTGTGTCACTCCCTACTCCCACGGTTGTGTTTTCTGGACCTCACAAGCTCTGCAGGTGGCAGCAGGAGCGTGCCCTGCACCACCCAGCACCTCCCAGCAGGGGGCGTGGAGCAGGAGGCACTCCTTCCACTGGGCCCCGGAGGCGGTATGGGTGGGGCCTTCCCGAGGGGTGGCCCTGAAAGGTGCAGGCAGCCTTTCCTCCCAGGGACATGTGGGGAAGGGGTGTGCTCAGCTGGAATATGGGCTCTGCAGGCACTTCGGCCTGTGGGTGTTCACTGGGACCCTAAATGTGAAATTGCCCTGAGTCCCTCAGAGATGCCTGTTGCTCCCCAGCGAGCGGATCGTGAGGAGGAATAGCTGATGGGCAGGCTCCCTGGAGGCAGGGTCCTGGCCAGAGCCCCCCCAGGTTTCTTGTCTCTGTGGGAACCAGTACTCTCGTCTCCCTGTGCACACTTTTGCTATTGATTCGGGACCACACCTGACTTTCTCTAATGAAATTATTTGTTTTTATTTTCCATGCCACAAGGATGAAGTAAGTGTTTTACGGCTAACTCCTGGGTGTCCTCGTCCCACACCGTGTGTGGGACGGTCACTGTTCTGCAGCAGAGCAGCAAGGCAGCTCTGTCAGGGTTGGCAGGGAAGGGCGGCCCCTGCTTCCCCAGTGGCTGATGCTGGGCCCCTCGGTCCATGGGAGCCGCCTGGTTGGGTGGATCTGTACTCACAGGTGACCAAGAGGAATTACTAGACAAGGTGACCTGGATTTGGAGTCAGGGCCCAGATTTGCCACCCACAGTATGTGGCCAGTCCCTTTTCCTTTCTGGCCCTCAGTTTCCTCATCTGACAAAGTGACAGATTCAACTTGACGTTTGTAAGACAGCTCTGATCTTAGGACCTGTTAGGAGTGGGAGCAGAGCTGCGGCCAGAGGGATACCAGGTTTTAACTAAGTTGTCTGACAAGTGAGGAGCGAAGGAAGGAGAACTTACCGAAAGCCTGTGCGCTGGGTGTGCCCATGCACCTGCACACACGGAGAGCGAGGACCCTCTCTGTTGCCAAAAGAGGGCGCCAGCGTCCCGGCAAGGCTCCAAAGCCTGTTCCGTGCGGGAAATGGCAGGGCCTGGAGATAAAGGCCTGCTCTGCTTGGCCGGCACCCCGCATGCCACTGGGGCTGAAAAGGAAGGGCTCCTGGGGGACGGAGGTCAGAGCCCTCTGTGCCGCTTTGGAGGTGTCCAGGACACCCGGTCCCTCGTGTTCTTTGTAGTCCAGGGTTCAGTTTGCCAAGTGCTCGGATCCCTGCAGCACACTTGTCACCCTCAGCGCTTCAGGAGAGGACTCGGGGCCCTGGCCAGGCTTTCTGGCGTGCAGGCTCCTGTCAGCCTGGAGGCTCCAAGATACCTGTGAGCTACTGGAGCCCACGCAGGCCTGAAGGGGCTGGGGGCCGGGCACCGTGCTGCGTAGGCGTGGGGCTCAGGACACAGTCAGCCCTGTTCGTTGTTTCCTGGGAAACCTGCGTGTCTCAGGAGGCGGGGCTACCACAGGTGTAGACCTCGGGTTGCACACGCAGGGACACCAGGCCTGCTGAGGAGCCCCCTTATTCAGGTGGTTTGCGTCCACGGGTGGGTGGAGAGGAGCCCGGTCTACCGGGAAAGCAGGAGCACAGAGGCCGCGAGGCTCAGCGCACTGACCACACAGGGCAGGTGAGCTCCGTGACACCCACCCGGTGAACGTCCTGACGCCTCTCCCTCCACTGTTGTCCAGGAGTGGTCCGCGGATCTGAATCGAACTCTGAGCCGGAGAGAGAAGAAGAAGGCTGCTGACGGGGTGACCCTGACAGGCATCAGCCAGACAGGTGACCAGGCTGTGCCGAACAAGGCCGGCAGGTGAGCGCTGCGCGCAGCCTCCACCCACAGGGCACGGGCTGCCGGAGGGCCCCCTGGGCATCGGCTCTGCCCAGGACAGCACCGGCTTGGACAGCTGGTGGATTTCCTGGTGTCGGGACCCTCCCCCCGCCGGCCCCCGGCATCTTTCTTGAAGATCCTGGGCTCTACGCTCTGGTTTTGGCCCAAGGGCATCTCTCAAGGTCATCTTTCTGCCTGGTGCTACAGCTGCTTGAGATTAGAGAGGGAGCCTTGGCCACAAGCCAGCCTCGGACCTGGGAGAGAGTGGCACCAGGATAGGGCTGCGCACAGATGGCCGCGTGGCGCTGTGCTGTGTGGATGGAGCTGGGCACAAGTGCTGCCAGGCTGGGTGCTTCCTCATTCCCGTGCCATGTACAGCGCCGATCAGCTGAGGCGACCGGGGATGCAAGGATGTGGGCATCAGGTGTCGCTTTCCAAATCACCCCCTCGGTAAGCAGGTGGCTTATCTCTGACCTCGTTGTGGTCTGAATGTGAATCATGGGTAGGAGGGGTGACGCCGTCCTCAGTAGAACCTTCTGGAAAGTATGTGCTATTTCAGGCCTTCCATGCTCACTCACGGGCTCCTGGCGACAGGACTTCCCGGGAAGCCTCAGCCAGGTTCACACGGGTCCGTAGCCTCAGACACTGAGGCCCCAGGCTCCTGGCACACGTATGGCAGGCCATTGTTCAGCTGCTGTTCGTAGTCAGGACGGGTTCAGACGTGGTGCCTCTGTGGGCACAAGCAGGCTGCGCCCACCGCCTCTCAGTCCCCCCAGCGTTGCGGCGTTTCTGTACTTCCTTCCCCAGTCAGGCACAGCAGATGCCCAGGGTAGAGTGCCCGCCCCAGGCCTGGCCTCAGAAGTGGGAGGCTGATCATCAGCCCGGAGTGCCTTGTGGGCTGTCACTCTTGCCGCGCCCTCTTGCCATGGCCCCTGTACTGCTTCACGCCCTGCGCCCCTTCCTCCCAAGCCCTGGCTGCCGGCCTCTCCCTGCTCACCACCAGCCTCGCACCCAGGAGGCAGCTGGGGAGTCGTGAGGATGGACTGAGTCTCCAGAGCACAAGGGCCCTGCGCGCTCCCTGGAGAAGGCCATGCAGCGAGCCTGACCTGAGTGCGGAAGCTCGGGAGCCCAGGGCTGAGCCCCTCACCACCTAAAGGCAGGAGGCGGCACTGTGTGCGGAGAGCGCTTGGGTGCTGGCTCTTACTCGGCTCGGCGCCGCAGGACAGAGGGCAGGGGACTGTGCGGAAGCCGAGAGCTGGGGCCGCCACCCCACACCGGGGCCCCATCTGCACTGACACAAGGAAAGAAGGGAAGCTGCTTCTCTCTGGATGCCAGAAACACGCTAAGCCGAAGCATAGGGACGTGTCCTCCAGAACTCACATGTATTCGCACCCCGTGCTCCTCTCACCCAGACGGAGCTGTGTTCCCTGGACGTGCCGGTTCTGTGATGCTGCAGCTGGGAGTCCCCAGACCCCACCATGCCCCGACTGGGGTCCCTGAAAGCTCTCTCTCTCCTCGTAGCAACCTTAATGTCCCGAGCAACCCCGCCCAGCCTGCCCAGTCACAGTCCAGCTACAACCCCTTCGAAGACGAGGACGACACGGGCAGCACCGTCAGCGAGAAGGAGGACATTAAGACCAAAAAGTTGGTGAACACACGCTTCCCTCTGATTTCCTCCTTGCTCGCTCAGCATCTCCCTCTCTCTGTCCAGCGGTCTCTCTCGGGTCTTGTCCCACCCCACCCCCAAGCAGCCAGCAGAGCTTGCAAGAGGCACAGGCTGATGGCCACTGCGGACCACTTCTGGCTTCTACACTTCTCGGGGCACGCCTAACGCTCTGGTGCTGTTTCTCTGTCCTGTTTCTCTGATAACCTTTCAGGCTCCGCCAGAGGAAGATACGCTGCGGTCTGTGCGGAGCACGCATCCTGCAGGCGCTGCTGTGGGGAGTCCTGTTGGGGCTTGGGGTGAGCGTGAGGGCATGCGTCCTTGCAGGCCTCGTGCCAGGAGGAGGAGCCCTCAACCCAGGGCTCTTGCACCTGCTCCACAGGGGCAGGGGCTCTGGGCAGGGCCTTCCGCCCTCTGCCACCCTCTGCTCAGGGCCATGTCTTCTCCGTTGTTGCAGTGTGAGCAGCTATGAGAAGACCCAGAGCTACCCCACTGACTGGTCCGACGATGAGTCCAACAACCCCTTCTCCTCCACGGATGCCAACGGCGACTCCAACCCGTTTGATGAAGACACTGCCTCGGGGACAGAAGTGCGGGTCCGGGCCCTGTACGACTACGAGGGGCAGGAGCATGATGAGCTGAGCTTCAAGGCCGGTAGGTGGCCTCGGCCGTCCCTGGGGGATGTGGCTTCTGGGCAGGGGGTGGGGTCCTCTTCATTCTCAAAATCCGATTAAGTTCCTGCGAGTTTCTCCCCTGGGTCCACTCTGTGACACTTTCTTGCTTGGTTTCAAAAACAACAGGTGCCACTGGGTGTACCCTTCCTGCTCTGCCTGTCCAGGCGAGCCATTACAGCATTTGTGAGCCACCTCCCCCAGGGTCACTGTGACAGAGCTGCTCCTTTAGCCCTGAGAGGCCACTGTGACAGGGCTGCAGCTTGGCATGTGGTTCGGTGGAGTTAGGATGCCCCGCCTAAGGATAATGCCTGCTCCTCCACCCGGGATGCACACTCTCTGTGGGCCTAGCAGCACATTCCACAGAGACCCCAGCGGTACATGGCTTTGGCACCCTCTAATTTAGACCTGCCCCCCTTTATCCTACAGGCGATGAGCTGACCAAGATAGAAGATGAGGACGAGCAGGGCTGGTGCAAGGGACGCTTGGACAGTGGGCAGGTCGGCCTGTACCCCGCCAACTATGTGGAGGCCATCCAGTGACAGGCCATGGGCAGGCTGGCCCCGGAGCTCCGTTAGCCTCACCCAGGCAGCGGTGGTCCCTGCAGCCCTGGGGCATCTGCTCTACCTGCACAAGACTCTGGCCCCCTTGAGCTTGCTTCCGGGTGTGCTTGGAAGGCAGAGGAGCTGGTCATCGCGCCTGGGACTCAGCCCTTTCCAAGTGCATCCGGGAGCTCTGCGTGGGAAGACAGTGGGGGAGAGGAGCCGGCCCTCCGCTGCCCAGCTCTGCAGCACAGTCTGAGTGTTCCGACCTCACCTGCTCCTGGGTCGGTGTGGGTGGAGCTCGCTCTTCTTCTGCTGATTATTGTCTCCCACCAGTCTCATCCCTGCTAGTTAAGTAAACAAACTATATGCCATTTCCTGAGTGAAGATTTTGAAGATTTTAATTTAAAGGCTATGTACAGTTACACTTTTTTACACACCTGCTCTGCCATCCTCTGTACATAAGTTATGGCACAGATGGCTCTGAACCAGTCTCTGGGACGTGATCGCTCTGTTTGCAGCTTGCTGTTCTTCAGCCTGGCCGCTGCCTGGGGCAGGTGGGAGGGCCACAGGTCCTGTAGACAGGCGACGCCCAAGGCGAGTGGAGTGCAGAACGTGGGGTGCACCGCGGAGGGGTTTCGATGATGAACGTGACCTGCGGAGGAAACCTCACACAGGACTCCCCAAGACGCCACCGCCAAAATGAGTGTCACTCTATTCCTGCTTAAAACTCAACTTTCTTGCACATTCACTATTTTATCAGCGATTTCAAAGGTTAAATAAGGCTAACTTTTCTGTGATTAAGATGCTCTATATCAAGCTCTTGTGTCTTGGTGTATATCTGTATATATTATTTGCTATTCAGAGAACCTAAACAGTGAGATTTAAGGCCTCTGACCCTGTGGAGATCTGTAAAATGCCGTCTTCGCTGCCACCAGTGTTCCTCATGAGCAGATAGAGGCTGCTTGTGGACAGCAGCAAGTCTCACCGAGCACCCTCAGTCCTCACAGGCAGGTGTGCAACAGGACGACCCTGAAGGGCCCAGGTTGGGAAGGGCATGCACCGTGTTAGCTGGGACAGTGGTGTCCTCCGCCCCTGTCACAGACACTCTGCTTTCTACCCAGCGCCTGCAGGGAGCACCTCTCTTGCTTGAAAGTGCGTGAGTCAGGGACTGTCATGAGAATTCCCAGCAGAAGCCCCCAGTCCTATGCTACAGATCTACCGACAGTTGTCACATCTTTTAAGTTAATAGTTCCTTTAAATGTATGGCATCTTTGAACAGAATCAATAAACAGTCGATCTCAGGTGTGCGAAAGGCCCTTGCTGTGAGTCTGCCCTTACATTGCAGCAGTGGGGAGATGCATCGTTCCACAAGTCGCATGCCTTGGACCTGAGCAGAGTCCATGTCTCCTGCCCCTCCAAACCAAGGGGAAGCCATGGCCCCTGAGCCCGATGTTTGACCTGGTCTCTCCCCCCATGGGGTACGGGACTCCTGGGTGACACTTCCTCCACCAGCCCTAGCAGCAGAATAGGACCTGTGACCCCTGACCCCATAGTTCTCTCTGGAACATACCTCCTGAGTACCTACTGGATGGCCCTTGAGCTCCACTCTACTTGCATTACCTGCACAGCACTCATCTCCAGGCGTCCCTGTGAGCAGGCCGAGTCTCCCTTTTCTGTTTCACAGAGGAGGAACAAGGTGTCCTATTGAGGACTGATCAGGCCCGCAACCTCCCAAACAAGTGGACATTAAGGGATTAAATAAAAGAGACAAGTGTTTTCATTTTAGGGCTCCAGGAGGATCAGAACCCTCTAGCAAAATTCGAGGTTCTCTAGGGGCTAAGACAAAGAACTTGGGTGGCCGTTATTTATTTAGTTTTCAAACAAAGGAAGGGGACACAAGGAGAGTGTGGGAATCTTAGCAGGACGTTGGGAGGGTACAAAGACTTCCTCAAGTAGTAAATTATGCTAACTGGGAGAACTGTCTCATCGCCAGGTTGACATTCACCACAGCAGTCTCTATTTTGTTAATTGGGGCTGGAGCCAGGAGGTCCTCAGCTATGGCCATATCTTGTCCTTTGAGGCATCACAGCCTCACAGGCCTCAGCTGGGACCAGTGACTCAGAGGTTCGCTTACTGTGAGTCTGCTGCCTATCTCCAGACAAGGGCCGTAGGCCTGGGACTCACAAGTAATCATAGAAAGCCAATTGATTAAGTTTAAATCTTGCTCAGAGCCGCTTTGTAGTGGTCTCCATCAGCCTCCCAAAGCCGTATCTGCCCAAGGATTCCAGCCGCTGAGATGCCCAGCCTAATCCTGGAGGGCTCAGTAGCACTAGGGGCTCAAGAAGGAGAGGACAAGTGAGCACTGCTGTGGGCACAGAGCATCCCTGCGGAGCTGGCGGGAGTGAGGTGCACAGCTGCCCTGGCTGCGTCTGCCCATACTCAGCCAAGCAGAGCAAGCATCTTGGCCATCCAGCCTTCTTGTCACGGGTAACAGGTGCCCTGCTGTCCTGCTCTGAGAAGGGCAGAGCCCATCAGCAGACAACCAGCTGCCCAGTGTGGACAGCGGCTTCTGCCTCCACCAGCCTTGGGCTGCAGAGAGAAATAAGTGGGCTGGGCAGAGGGAGGCCCCTGCAGGCACCATTTATTAAGCACCTACTGTGTGCCACACTCGTGCCAGGACAGAGATGAAGAAAAGCCACTGTTTTCCTTGGGGAGCTGCAGGGGGATCAGGGCCAAGTTATTCTGACACCAGGACAGGAGAGGCTGGAGGGCCTGCTGAAGTGTGCCGGGTGCGTTCTGGAGGCCCCTGAGAAACGGAGGGACCTGAAGAGCCAGCATTCTACCTGCCTACTTGTCCCCGAGCCGTTTCCCTCCTTCCAGGGCAGAGTGTGCCCAGTCCTCACCTAGGCAGGAGGTCTGGCCGCCCCGGAACGGGCCTCAGGCCGAGCAGGTGTCTGAGCCCTGGGGATGACCAAGTAGAGTGACTGGGTTTTCCAGAAGCCCGGAGGCCAGCCAGGCAGCTGCCCTGGCCCACAGGTGCCCCGTAAGTTCGCTTCTCCCCACTTCTCCAGCTAAGCTCTCTCCAGGCTGCCCCCTTCTGCTCCCCAGGCTCTCTGGCCTCCACTTCCAAAGAAGTTCAGGCCTGTGCCCACCCTGTGTACCCGGACGCTGCGGGAAGCTCGTGCCTGTCTCTGGGCCTTAGTGTCCCCATGGGTGGGTACTGACCTCAGCTCTGGCCCCTGGGAGGAAAAAGCAGCTGTGTCCTGGGCCCCAGAGGAAAGCAGCGTCAGTGCCCTCCGTGGGAGCTGGCCAAGCTGGAGTGACCTACACTGCAGGTGCAGCACTGTGCTTGTTCCCTGCCAAGAGGAGCCGCCTCCCAGCACGGGGTCAAGGAGTCGCTGCTATGACAGGGGCTGGGGATTTAGCTCAGCAGCAAAAGCGCCTGCCTGGCAAGCGCAAGGTCGTGAGTTCGGTTCCTGGTACCGGAGAAAAACAAAAAAAAAAAAAGTTGCTGCTATGATAGAAATGCTTGTGTCCCCCAAGATCCTGCTGAAATCCTCACCCTAATGATGACGTGTAGCAACTGGGACCTTTGGACTGTGCTTAGGCTAGGTGGAGGAAGCCCTCACAGGTGGGATTAGCGCCCTTCTCAAAGGAGAACTCCCGTTTGTCTCCACCATTTGAGGACACAGCCAAAACGTGCCTTTTCTGAAGAAGCAGCTCTCCGACGTGAAGACTGCCTGCTCCGCGTTCTTGGACTTCCAGCCTCCAGGCTCTGACAAATTTCTGTTAAGAGAAAGAAACTAAATGTAAAAAAATAAAGTAAAACTGCTGTGTATAAGCTTCCCAGTCCGTGGTACTTTCGTTAGAGCAGCCTGGAACGACTGAGACCTCCCCTAACCCCGCTGTGGTTGGTGGACAAGGGGGTTCCTCAGCCTGCTGGCTCCAAGCAGACTTGGACCTGGCATTCATGCTGCTTGTGCCAGGCCCCGTGCTCAGCGCCCACCACCACACGTGCGCACCAACTTGTAGGTGAGGGACCTAAAGCCAGAGAGGCGGGGTGACTTGTGACTTCATCAGCCTCAAGTGCCCCAGCTCAGACGGCCTGGGCTCCCAGTCCCGCTGCTGTCTCAGCAGTGGCCCTCGGCCCCCTGGCTCATGTGCAACTCAGCTTCCGGGGCTGCATTCCCAGCTAGTGGGCGACTAGGCGTGTTAGCTTATATCGCCGTGACAGAATACCTGAGAAAACTCAGGAGGAAGGGTTTGTTTTGACCTGTGGTTTCCAAAGCCTTGGTTCAGAGTCACTTGGCGCCTTTGCTTCTGGGCCTGCGGAGAGGCAGAACTTCATGTTGGGAAGCATGTGGAGGTGCAGAGGGGCTCCACCTCCTGGTGAATAAGAGGCAGAGGAGGGCCTAGGGCGTCTCAGCTTCCAGAGCGTGCCCAGAACCACCACCAGAAAAGGACGTACCTGGTGACTTCCCTCAATGAGGCCCCACCTCCAGGACCCCATTAAGGTGAATGCTTAGTGAATCAGTCCTTTAAGGAGGTGAGAACCTACATGAACCTTCACTTCCCAAAACACTGCTACACAGACAAGAGGCATGGTAGAGGTCAGGTGTCCAGCTCAGGGCAGCCAGGGAGAAAGCCTAAGCAAAGAGAAAGGTGCTGAGGCCTGAGGAACTCTTCAAGATCACGTCCCCAGTCATGTACTCGCGCCAGCTGGGCCCACCCGCAATAGCCCATTCAGCTATAAATGTCAGTGGGTTAAGCCATTACGAGATTAGCACCCTCTGGATCCATCTCTTACCCAATGCCCCATCTCTGACCACGTGAGACTTTAGGGGATACTTTAGTTCTAAGCAACAGCATTCTATCCTTGGCCGCCCGAATGCTTACAGCCACCTCATTTTGCAAAATACAATCTCAAAGTTGCTAAAGTCTCAACTATTCCAGTTTTTCTCAAAAGTCCAAGTCCAAAGTACCTTTTGAGACTTAAGGTGACTCTTAGCTGTGACCTCCTGTAAAAATCAAAAGGCAAAGCCAGGGGTGTTAGCACATACCTGTTATCCTGGCACTGAGATGTGAGCTCTAAAAAGCTTGAGGGGTCCCACTCCTGTTTCTGCTGGTGGCCTGTCTGGGTACTGGCTCCTCTTGCTACCTATAGCTTTCCTTGGCAGATGTTCCACGTTCCTGTCATCTGCAGCTTCATAGGGTCTCCATTGCAGCTTCAGCCTCAGTTCCACAGCTCCATATATCATTATCTCAGGGGCTTTCAACAGTGACTCCAGACCAGTGACACATTGCCTGGCCTCCCAGGCCTTTCTGTGAAATCTGGGTGGAAGTCTTCATGAAGCAACAACTTTTCTACTCTGCATGCCTGCAAAATCACCACATGGACAACACAAAGGTCTTCAATTAGCTCAAGCAGTAGACAGGCCCCTTTGGGCCGTGGCTGCAGCAACTGTTGAGTGCCTGTATGGCTGAACTCCGGGAAATACTTCCCTAGGAAGCCCTCAGGAAGCAAGACACACTGCAGCTCTCCTCAGAGAGATCTTTCAAAGCAGTTTACACCTTTATATTCTTGAGCCTGGGATGGGTGGGGTCCGCTAGTTCCTGAGATCCCGTGACAATGTCTTTCCTATTGTCCTGGTACAAAGTACTTGGCTTTCTTCACCCAGTACTGGAGACTGAAGCCAAGGTCTTTGTACTGAGGTATATCCCCACTCTTCTGTTACTGTTTTTCATTTTGAAACAGGGACTAGCTAAGTCACTAAATAGCTTAGGCTGGGCTTCCACTTCCAGTCCTCCTGCCTGAGCTTCCCAGAGTACAGGGATTACAGGTGCTCACCATCAAGCTCAGTGTGGGCCCTTTTTAATAGCACTAATCTCTCCACCAAGCTCACCCTCTTTGTCCCCCAACCTTACATGTTCTTCTTTCTGACCAAACTGCTAGGTTTGCCCTCTGCTTTTTGATCTGGGTTCCCAGTGTAGATCTAGCTAGAAGCAGCAATATCCATGCCGTACCTAGAATGATGCAATACCTCAGAATTTTCTCCACCATTAATTACTCTAGTAACTTTAAATTCAGCCTCATACAAAATCTGAGGGCATGGAAAAAATGCATGCAAGTATTTTTTTCTAGCCTATAACATGAATTCCCAATAGAGTCATTTCCCAATCTGAAGTGTAATGAACACTATGTTTAGGGGCCGGGATATAGCTCAGTGGCATAAGCGCCTGCCTGCCAAGTGCAAGATCCTGGGTTTGATCCCTGGTACAAAAAAAAAAAAAAACAAAAAACAAAAAA